GAAGAAGAAGAAGAAGAAGAAGAAGAAGAAGAAGAAGAAGAAGAAGAAGAAGAAGAAGAAGAAGAAGAAGAAGAAGAAGAAATAAAATGTTGCAAATAGAAGAAGAAGAAGGAGAAGAAGGAGAAGGAGAAGGAGAAGAAGAAAAGAGGAGGAAAAGAGGGTGAAAAGGAGGAGGACTTTGGGGTCCTTGGTGCTCTCTGAGGTTGTTTGTTTTCTTGAAGACATCTCATTACCCAAATAGGTAACATCATCAGTGCCAGAAGGGGGTAGGGTTTCTGAGGAGGAGGAGGAAGAGGATAACAACAATTCTATCTGGACTGTGTGTCCTTGGTGCTCTCTGAGATTGTTTTCTTTGCAGATGTTTCATTACTTAACTAGGTAACATCATCAATGCTAGAAAGGGGTGGGCTTTGGGAAGAGGAGGAGGAGGAGGAGGAGGAGGAGGAGGAGGAAAAAGAAGAAGAAGGAAAAGGAGAAGGAAGAGGAGAAAAAGGAGGAGCAGTGCTGTGGGGTTCTTGGTGCTCTCTGATTGTTTTCGTGAAGATGTTTCCTTACCCAGCTAGGGAACACCATCAGTGCTAGAAAGGAGTGGGCTTTGGGAAGTGAAAGTGGAGGAGGAGGAAGAGAACAATTTTCCTGTCTGGACTGTGGGGTCCTTGGTCCTCTCTGAACTTGGTTGTTTTCCTGCAGACATTCCATTACTGTTCTTTCTCCCTCTTTTCTAGTGCAAGTTCGAGCCACGGGTTCTTCTCCGATGTAGACTCCACGGATGCAGCCAGCACATCGGGCTCGGCCTCCACAGGTTTCTCCTTCGAATCGAGGTGACCCTTTTTTATACACTGAACAGGCTTCTCTTTTCAACAGGCGTTTGCAAGTTGTATCGCAGTTGGGACGAATTTAAGCAAGTCACACTTCCCAAGAGCATGAAGCCAACTCCTTGTCCTGACAAAAAACCCTTTTATTAATTGGCTGTGAATTCTGCTCCTTCACATCCAGCAAAGTCTTTCGAGGGAGGATTTACGGTCACAGACCTCATCTGGCTTGGAGAGCTGCCAGGCCGATATCCGCAAAACTTGGCAAGGAGTCACGGAGAGTCACGAACCAATTAAGCAAACTAATGGCCTCCTGCAAACTCCACTCCCCTTTCACTCCTCTTTTATTCCCTCCAGGAGGGGC